CGGGAGCTCAGATTTCGCCTGTGAAAAAGCGGCGTCTGATACTGTAGATGAACACCTCGCAGATAGCCGGGTGGCTTGATTTGAATTTGAGGAGTTGAAAAGCCTGTTTACTTTCTTGCTTTGATGTTGGGTAGATCTGGTTTTGATTAGATCGGTACCCTTTTCTCTCCCCGCCTCCCCTTCCTTTTCTTCCCAGAGTGGAGGCTCGGATGCGCCCCTGCTGACTCCAGAGAGACGGAGAGACCACGCCGAGTGCCGAGAGGAACTGGAGCAAGGAAGAACCCCAGGTTCGGGGGGAAGAGCGCCTCACCATGAGCGGCGCGGTGCTGGTGACCCGCCTCCCGGACCCCAGCAGCAGCTTCCGCGAGGATGCGCCGCGGCCCCCGGTTCCGGGCGAGGAAGGGGAGCCCCCGCCGTGCCAGCCCGGGCTGGGCAAGGGCCAGGCCGCCAGGCCCGCGCCCGCGCCCGCGCCCTCCAGCGCCAGGCGGAACGAAGATGGCTTGGGGGAGCCGGAGGGACGGGCGTCGCCGGAGTCCCCCCTGGCCAGGTGGGGCAAGTCCTTGCTCTCCTTGCTGGGCGACCAAGACGGCGCCTACCTCTTCCGGACTTTCCTGGAGAGGGAGAAGTGTGTGGACACCCTGGACTTCTGGTTTGCCTGCAGTGGCTTCAGGCAGATGAGCCTGAAGGACACCAAAACTTCACGCGTGGCCAAAGCGATCTACAAAAGGTACATTGAGAACAACAGTATCGTCTCCAAGCAGCTGAAACCTGCCACCAAGACCTACATAAGAGAGGGCATCAAGAAGCAGCAGATCGATTCCATCATGTTTGACCAGGCGCAGACCGAGATCCAGGCGGTGATGGAGGAGAATGCCTACCAGATGTTTCTGACTTCGGATGTGTACCTCCAGTATGTGAGGAGTGGGGGGGAGAACACAGCCTACATGAGCAGCGCGGGACTGGGCAGCCTGAAGGTCGTGTGTGGCTACCTCCCGACCTTGAACGAAGAAGAGGAGTGGACTTGTGCCGACTTCAAGTGCAAACTTTCGCCCGCTGTGGTTGGCCTGTCCAGCAAAACTCTGAAGGCGACCGCAAGCGTGAGGTCCACGGAAACTGTTGAAAATGGATACAGGTAGGACCCGGGCGGGGGGCACGGGGGGTGGGGTGGCAGAGGCTATGGGCTTCACAGATGGTGTGAGTTAAGTAGGGTGGGAGGATGCATGGATGAACGGGCTGCAGAGACTGACAAAGGCTTGTTGAGAGCTGGGACCGCCGGCCACGAGCCCTCTGGTCTTGCTTGCTGTTGTTTAGAGGGGAGGAGGGTGAAGCACACAGGCCAATACCTGCCGTCTTCCTGTGCTAGCTTCAAGCAGTAGCGAGCGGCATTCTTTAACGTGGGTCACTTATTATCCCGAGCTGAAGTCTCGGAAGGGGCTGAGAGAGGAAGAGGGCGAGAGAGGGAAGGAGGGAGGACAGCGGCTTTGGATGCCTCTGAGTCACCAGATCCACTAAGCACCAGTTTTGGAAGGGGTCGTTTCACCACTAATCAGCGGCCAGCGGGATTAGTGTGGCCAGAGAGGCAGCCGGGTTGTGGTGGAGGCACAGGAAGTAGCGTGCACCCCTTGAGGGGTAAGTGGGGTCTCTTGGATGTTGCTGTTAAGAGAAGAGCCAGCAATCGGCTTAACGACTGAGCTTGTGGTTCCCTTTGCAGAATTAGATACTCGCCCCACAAGAAAGCCTTCCAGGAGGGAAGGTCCGGGGACTTTCCCGAATGAAGGAAGGGCTCTTAGCTCTAGAGCCTGCTGGTAGATTAATCCAGGTTTAAATGCTGGCGAGGCCCAGGGTCAGACCTCAGTTGGTTATTCTGTTAGGGCTAGAGGACTGGGGCTCCGGAGTACTTTCTCTTTGGGGCTTCAAAGACAAATAGTTCTTTTCAGAATGGCCGTCTTGAGACGCTTGACCCTTGGAGGCAACTTCAGACCTCTTGTTAGAATGGGTTTTTCTGTCTCCCCTCTCCCTCTTCCAAATACCCCAGAGGAGGATGAGCCTCTGAATTCTGCGCTGCTGCTTAGGACCTGTGGGGTGGGGGCTGGGCCTGACTGCTGCCCAATGGCTTCTCTCGCTGCCCATGTGCATGTCTCCTCCGGCAAGGAACTCAGGGTGCGGTCTGGTAGCTGCCTCTGGAGATTCCCTCTCTCTGCAGAGTGTGGCTCCTAAAGGCCAGCGGCAGGAGGAGGGTTAGGCACCATTTCGTGGATCTTGAGCCCCTTGGGGTGGCCAGGCCTCTATTTAGGGGCGGAGAGAGTTGACTGCTGGCTAGGAGGGGAAGGGCTTGCTCTCCAGCCACCAGGGGGCGCACTGGCAGCTTCGGGAACCAGGCTACCCACACTCCAGACATCTGGTCTACACCTCGGGAGAGCTGCGTTGGCTGTTGCCAGGAGGCCCAGGATCACATGAGAGAGAGAGTTGTTTCGGCAGCTTTATGCGAAGGGACCCAGGTGGTTTGGGAGGAAGATGCTGGGTCTGGTCTCCGCAGCAGGTCAGCCGCTGGGCACCTGCTGCTGCTGGCCACTCTGTTGTGAGAACGTTTGGGTGTCGACCTCTGACACAGGCCACGTGGCCCTCCTGCTTGGCGGCAGCCACCGAAGCGCCGTAGGCCTGTGGTAAGGCTGCGTCCCCAGGGGCCTCCCTCCACGTGTGGCTCTGGGTGCCTTCAGCCGGAAGGCCCTCCCCAGGCGGGCTCTGCTGGGACTCCTCCCTTTGTGGGGGGCAGCGGAGCCCATCCTCTGCCTGCCTTCTCTCTCCCACAGGCTTCCTCTGGGCTCGTACCAGGAATGGACTTGTAGGGGAGGAGGCTGCGAAGCTTTGAGGTCGATCCTGGAGGCGGGGGCAAAGGACGTGTTGTCCAGGGCTGTGGAGGTCACTGACCAACAGATGGCCGTTTGTCATTGACTTCTTGAGAGTTTCCATGCTAGATTCACGTGTGCTGTCTCCTGTTGGGTTGAAACGAAGCATTTTACCTGGACTGTGTGAAGCTCATGTGTCTTCCCTGGGCACTGTCAAGGAGAACGTAAGGCGTATCCAGATGATCTGATCTCATGTTAACATGAAAGCTATCTGAGAGTGTGTATAGTAGGTCGGGAGGTGTTCTGAGTTACTCAAAGGCCTGGGTTCCAGCCTGGTTCACCCTAACTGCCTTTGAACCCCATGTGCTCACCCGTCAAAGGAGTGGGCACCATCTCTTCTATGTCATGGGGTTGTTATTAGCATTGCCATAATAAACATGAAAGCCTTTTGTAAAGGGACACGGTTCAAGCAAACGTCAAGTGTCACAATTGGTATAATGAATGGTGATAACTTAAGAGGGCAACCAGCTTGGGATATCGCGTTTAGGGTGGCTCTTCGCCTACTTTTCACCCGGAGATTTTAGAGTGTCCCCTCCCCCATGCCTCAGCTTTCCTCACTCGTTGAACTTGTCTGCCGTATCGCCTAGTTCTTGGAGTGCAGGGGCCCGTCCGACTCGTGGGTTTAAGTCCTCCCCTCCCCTGCCCGCCCCCACGTGCTCTCCTGGTGGGGCCTCCTCAGCCAGCGACATGAATGAGACAGCAAACATCAGCCCCGCTGAGGGGGTCTCCTCCTCAGCTGTTGAGCAGTCTTGGGGGCTGATGCCCAGGGCACCGGCCAGCCTTCCATGCCCTGCAGGGAGCCTCGGTTTTAGTGACTTGTTTGTGTCCTTACTGATTTGGTGCTAAGTTTAGTGTAAATAGGTGAGATGGAAGAGCATGCATTATCCTTGGAGGGCAGGACTCTGGCTTGAGTGGCCTGGGCTTTCGATGGAGAAGTGACCCGTTGGTGGACACGCAATGTTGAGGTGTGTGCGGGGGCGGGGTGTGTGTGTGTGTGTGTGTGTGTGTGTGTGTGATTAGGCACACAGCCCGGCGTTTATTTTGGGAAGGAGAAGACAGCCCTGGGTGCACAGAGCGCTACCTGTGCAGCCTTTCCTCACTGGCCCGCGAGTGTTCCTGCTCAAGGCCGGCCTCCTCTGCCCTCCTCTGGGCCCTCTGCTCTGGCCTCACTTAAAATAAGTCAGGCCCAGCAGATGGCCCTCTGCGGGCTCCAAGCACTTCCTGTTCTCTGAAAGAACTCGCTCACGAGACCAGTTTTGTGCGAAGCCTTTGGAATCAAGCTTGGCTTCAGTCATCAAAGAAAATGATGCCATAGGAAAGATACGCTGGAGCAGTGGTCCGCAGTCAGAGAGCGGGAGCTCTGATGGGGACAGTTTGCTAAGACACACTTGCAAAAGTGTGCCTGTTCTCAGAAGGCCTGGCTGCCTGGCCCCTGGCTGGGTGCCCATTGCTCTTGCTGTAGAAAATGCTTTTGGAAGAGGGCAGCAGCCTTGCGAGGAGGTTGTCAGAGGGCGCTAGGAAAGCCTAAACTCACGGCCTGAGAAGCAAACGCTTTCAAAGTTGCCCTGTTTTGAGGCACCCACAGGAGGGCTGTGGGGTCATTTCTGCCTGCTCTGTGTGCAGCAGCTTCCCTGTGCCTTGTGGGGAGGGGCAGGGCCACTGTGGCCCATCCAGATGAGAGTGGCGGAAGCCAAAAGCAGTGGACATGGCCTCTGCCTGACGCCTGAAGGCTGAAGACCCTTTGCATGCTGCAGCTGCAATTAGGCCTGGGGATAGGGGCCATTGCTCCTGGGCCTCTTCTCTCTGAGGACTCAGAATCCTTGCAGCAACTGGGAGCACAACCATCGTGAAGAAATAATCAAAGCATCTGGGCACAATTTCCGTAGCACAGTCGAGTTTCTTTTTCTTTCTTTTTCTTTCAAGTGATCACCAGAAAACAACTCTCATTTGTATTCTTAAAATTATGTGGCGCTTTTGACAAAGTTCTGGGTCCTTAAAACGTGAGTTTCTGTCTCTCCCCACAACCCTGCCCTCCCTCCTCTGCCTCATCTTGTTATGATGGCAGGAAAACCCAAGTACTTTATTGCAGTCGGCTGAGTTAAGAGCAGTGTATTCCGTTTTTAATTACTGGCCACACAGTAGTCTTCTATTTTGGAAATGAAGGGAGATGAATTTATTTTGGGATCTGTGTGTTAAACAGCGAGTGCAAAGCTGTGTGAGCACACTTGGGGTCTGAGTTAGGTGTCTTTTTTGCTCGGGAGAAAAGAATTGCTTTTTTGTTGTTTTTTGAGTGGTACTCTCACTGTGTCTCCCAGGCTGGAGTGCAGTGGCATGTTTAACGACCACCCTCGACCTGCTGGGCTCAGGTGATCCTTCTGCCTCAGCCTTCTGAGTAGCTGGAACCCCAGGTGCATGCCATCATGCCCAGCTAATTTTTTGACTTATTATAGAGACAGGGTCTCGCCAAGTTGCCCAGGCTGGTCTCTAACCCGTAGGCTCAGTCGGTCCTCTCGCCTCTGCCTCCCAAAGTGCTGGGATTACAGGTGTGAGCCACTGCACCAGGCAGAAAGAATTTCCGCTGAGTCATTTTCTCCCCTTGGAGGCTGAAGTATAATTGTTACACTGGAGACATAGATGATGTGAATAGAAAGAGTGTTTGAATGTCTCCTGGGCTCAAGGCATCCTCCCCCTCCTTCAGCCTCCCAAGTAGCTGGGACTACAGGTACATTGCCACATTGGGTTAATTTTTTGGTGTGTGTGTGTGTGTGTGTGTGTGTGTGTAGATGAGGTCTTGCTATGTTGCCCAGGCTGGTCTGGAACTCCTGGGTTCAAGCAGTCCTCCTGCCTTGGTCTCCCAGAGTGCTGGGATTACAGGGGTGGGCCACTGTACCTGGTGACTTTTTCTATCTTTTATTACGCCTCTTGAACTAAAAACCTTTTCAGCAACGCACACAGGTCTTTCAAGGTGGTTCAGCAAAGTTTTGAGCCCGAGCCATCATCTTCTTTCCACACTGGCAACCCATACGAAGAAAGGACCATCCCTGCCGGGGCTTATAGTCTGGTTGTACAGGATAGGCGTTCGATATAGAAACATGCCAACATCTGCCATTGCAAGTCGTGATAAATGTAAGAAATCATGAGGGACCATTGCCTTGTTAAACTCTGGTGTGTCCATGTGGCTCTTTGAGCTATGGCCACCATGTTTCCTAGCTTTGACCCTACCTTGGGGAAGTGAATCTCCTCTCTCTCTCTCTCTCTCTCTCTCTCTCTGTCTCTGTCTCTGTCTCTCTCTCTCTCTCTCTCTCTCTCTCTCTCTCTCTGTCTCTCTGTCTCTCTGTCTCTCTCTGTCTCTGTCTCTCTAATTTACTTTCTAAATTATATTTTCCAATCTTAAAAAATCACAAGGGTATCTGAAAAGACAGGAGCTTTCTGGTTCTGTTGGTGGTTGGTTTTCATGGGGTATTACTTTGATCCCCCAAATTGTTCTGCCCTTGTAGATTCCTTCAGAAGATGTGAGATCTTGGTGCAGATGGCCATGTTTGAAATGCCCGTTTTTCATGGATGTCCACATCCAGGGAGGCTGTGACTGGCCCAGCTGGTTGGCGGCCCAGCCAGCAGCTCTCAGCCTCTGACTTCTGGCTCCTTCTGAGCATTATGGAGTGTCCTTATCACTGGACAATCATCTTGTCCATCCTGCTTGGAGGCAGTAACCCCGTATGAGCACCACGGATGGCAGCTATGTCTGTTTAGTCTCAGATAGCTCCGCAGACCCTGTCTATTCCCTGGATCTCCTCTGACATTTGAAAGGGTTTTCTTCTTTTTTGACTTTTGACGCCCATGTCCTCTTGTTCTGCATTCAGCAGGGATGCCAGGCAGAGTCTTCCTCTCCTGAGCCCCTTATCAAGTAGGAGATCACCTCTCAGCCTTGTCTTCTCCAGAAAAATGAACGCTTTTCCTATATTTTCGCTGCTCCTCTCTGTCGTTGGTGTCTGAAATTCCAGATTGAGGACACAAAGACCAGGAAAAAGGCATGGAAGGTCTTACCATTCTCATTAATCTTCACAAAAAGTCCTGGGTGGTCATGAGACTCCTGCCCCATACAGATCCAGCCAGCGGGCCCAAGTGACAGTTAGGTCGCTTGGTCCAGAGTGTTCGGCGCTCCTGCTTTGCACCTTCTGGTCATGCCTAAGCCTCCATCACATGCCTGAGACCTGGCTTCACGCTTCAGCCTAGTGTAGGTCGGGATCGAGGCTCCAGCACATGTCCTGCTCCTCGAGCCAAGACTGGGGGTGGGGAGGATAAGAGCCTGACGAGGCTCTTGGCCCATGTGGGGCTCAGTGACCTGCTTGGGCGATTGCGAGGGTTAAAGGGATTCATTCTGGCTCAACAAACTTGATGATCCTTTTTTTTTTGAGTTGGAGTCTCACTGTGTTGCCCAGGCTGGAGTGCAGTGGCACACTC